TAGTCATATAGACTCTGAACATAACCTGCAGCTGTTAAGGCCTCATTAAGCTTAATGTTCCACTGTCATGAGGCTTGTTTAAGCCCATATAATAATTTCAATAGTCTGCTGATCTTTGTCTCCCCTTGTCTCCTGAAATCTTGAGAAAGTTCCATATACACTTCCTCATATAAATCCCCTTGAAAGAATGCATTATATATATCCATTTGTGATATATTCAGTCTTTAGAAGCAACAAGAGCAATTACAGATCTCACAGTTACCATCTTGGTAACTGGTGAAAAGGTTTTATTATAGTCCAGGCCTTCTCTTTGGCTATAGCCCTTGGCTACCAACCTAGCATTGAACCTTTCTACCTCACCACTTGATTTGTATTTTATTTTGTACACCCATTTTGAATCAATAGCCTTCATTCCTTTTGGAAGATCAACAACATCCTAAGTTCTGTTGTCCTCTAAAGCCTTGATTTTAGTTTCCATGGCTTCAATCCACCTTTTGTCCTTAGATGCTTCACTGAAGGTTTTTGGTTCTGTTAATGCTGAGATTTCAGCCAACAAACTTCTACATTAACTATTCAACCTGCTATAGGATAGATAGTTGGATAGGGGATATGAGGAACTTCTTTTTGTAGTGGTCACATAGTCCTGCAACCATATGGGTTCCTTTGTAGTTATTTTTGATTTTCTAACCTCAGTTAACTCTTGTTCAAGAGTTGCTGGAGGATTCACTTCATCTTCCTGCATTAAGTGTTGTTCTGGAACTGCACTGCTACTTGTTGGTGCATTGTTATAATCTGCATTTGCATCATCATCTGCATTTGCTGCTGGTGAGTTTTGCATATCACCATTTCCTTCATGTTCTGCAGTGCCAGTCCCTGCATTGTTGTCAACCTCAATAGACTCCTCTAAATCACTTCTTACAATTCCTTCTAACTGCAGATGCATATTGCCATAGAAATTCTGTAAAGGGTCAAATTGTTCCAGGCCTGATATGAGATCTACAATTGCTGTATGTCCTTCTGCATTATGAGTTGTGGAACAATGCTTGACAAATGGAAAGATATTCTCCTTGAAAATAAAATCTCTGCAAAGAAAGAAGCAATTAGTATTTAAATCCATTAGTCTGTAGCCTTTTTATGTTTCTGCATAGCCAAGGAATACAACTGCCTTTGCTCTTGGTAAAATTTTGTCTTCTTTAACCAAATTAGTGGCATAGCAAAGACATCCAAACACTCTAAGGTGAGACAATGAGTGTGGCTTGTTATGAAGGAGATCATATGGAGTTTTCACACTCAACAACTCAGTAGGCAGTCTGTTTATCACATACACATCTGTTTTGATACATTCACCCTAAACTTTGTTGGAACACTTGCTTGAAACTTCAATGCCCTAGCTGTATCTAGAATTTGCCTGTGTTTTCTCTCCAATACTCCATTCTGCTATGGAGTGTATACACAAATGCTTTGATGAACTATCCCATAGGCATCAAACAATTCATTCATGTGTTTATTAAAGAACTCTGAGCCATTATATGTTCTAACTACCTTAACGTTGGACTGAAATTGGGTGTGTAACATGGCAAGAAATTTCTTCAACACCACAACAACATCACTTTTCAATTGAAGTAAATGCACCCAAGTATACCTTGTATTATTATCCACAATAGTTAGGAAAAAATATTTTCTATCATACATGGGAAACCTATATGGTCCACAAATATCCATATGCAAAAGAGATAAATGATTCTCACTTCTACTCATACTTCTAGGAAATACTAGCCTACTTTGCTTGGCTAGTGGGCATACCTGACACTCATTATTCACTACTACATCTACAGATTTGTTATGAAATAGATCCAAGTTCTTCATAGTACTAACTGAAGCATGGCCTAGCCTTTTGTGCCATAAGACTTCACCTTCTTTATTACTCCGTGTGGTTGTAGTTGATGCAAATTTCCTTATCCCTTTGATGAATTTCTCTAAGTCTCCTTTCAATTTCTTCTTCAATATGTACATACCACCTCTTTCTCTACCAATCCCCCTCACCTTGCCATTGTAGAGATCCTGAAATAAACAGAAGTCGGAAAAGAAATTCACCGAACAACATAACTGCCTAGTTAGTTTGGACACTGAGATTAGATTGAACTTAAACTCAGGTACAAACAAAATATCTTCCAGCTTCAACTCATCACACATAACAATATCTCCAATATGTGTTATATTAGACTTCTCTCCTGTAGTCAAATGTACTTGATCACTGTCACATTTGTTTACTTTATTCTTAGTATTTAACATATCTAGCTCACCAGCTATGTGAGGCATAGCTCCATAATCAATTATCCATTCTTTACAAGTAAAGCTTGCCATTAAGGAGGTTGCAATACTTGCCATGGTAACCTGATGTTCTAGAGTCTCCTTGTTCAGCATGCTCAAAATCTGTCTATATTGATCCTCAGTGAAGTATGGTCCTACCTTTAATCCATCACAACTACTTCTTCCCTCATCATGATGTGCTGATTTGTCACTCTCCAAGCCACTAGTTGTCATGTTAGCTGCATATGATTTCTTGTTTTTGAAATCAGTTGGATAACCAACTAGTTTGTAGCAATTTTCCTTAGAGTGCCCAGGTTTGTTGCAGTAATCACATTTCACAAATGGCTTCTTTCCTTTGTACTGTCCCCTGTTATTCTGCACAGTCATCTGCCCTCTACCTGTTTGCATAGCAACTTGATCTCCTCTGTTTGGCAAGACTGGATGTGCACTAGAATTCTGACTCTCATCCTCTATAATCAATGCATAAGCTTGGTTCAATGTTGGCTCCACAGTCTTCATTAAGATCTGATGCCTTGCTTGATCATATGTCTCATTGAGACTACTTAAAAACTGCATTAGCCTTTGCTGCTGAAGGTGTTCAACATACTCCTTCGAATTAGGAATAAGCACCATTGCATCGTACTCAGCCCACAATTCCTTCAACCTAGTGAAATATGCAGAGACTGAATCTGTTCCCTGCAAAATAGTAGCAATTTTCCTATGCAACTGAAATATCCTCACACGATTCACTTTGTCGAATCTCTCTCTCAAATCCTCCCATACCAAATATGCATTAGATGCGTAGACAATGCCGCTAAGTAGATCCGGAGAGACAATGTTCATGATCCAGGAAAGCACGATTGCATTACATGTTTCCCAGTCCTCATGCAATTCAGTTTGGAACAAATACTTTTTGCACGTCCCAAGCACAAACCCTAGCTTCCTCTTAGCTTGCAAAATAATTCGCATTGAACGACTCCCCAGTCCTTAATTTTCTGAACCTGCGAGCTTTACAAGAATCATAATCGAACTAGGAGTGTCTGAGGGATGAACAAACAAAGGATGTGTGTGATCGATTTTTTCGGCCGCCATTGTTGATCGTTAGTCACAGCTTCGCGAGGAAGAACATGATGAAATTTCAGCCAAATTGAACAAAATTTGCGGAATTACAACTCTTCATTACTTTGATACCATGTGAGCTTGGTGAATCTGAGCTCAATTTCCAGATTCATCCAAGCACTTTGTGATTAGGTTTGAGAATGAAGGGATGAACTCGAGAGAGAAGGGAGAAATTGCAGGAGAGAAAAAATGAATTCTTCTTTGTAAATGAATGATTACAACTTTATATACAATTCAATTATGTACTAACTTAATAAATTACTTAACTACTGAGCTCACAACTATAACCGACTAACTAATAGCTCACAAATAGCTCACGTCCTTTGGCAGATTTTCATTCAACCGTTTGGGGACACCATTTCCTCTCTTACACTTCTCATCAAACAGTAAGTACACAAGAATTGCACATTACCCCTACATTAATCACATTTATAATTATTACTCTATTAATTAAAATACTTTTGAAATCTCTTAATAGAGATCATCATGTTATACAATATATAGTCACCGTCTCAAAACTAATACTACTATTTTTTCTCTTGCAGGAAATTACTACCCAAGAAAAACTTGAACTTGAAGAGTTAAAATAAAAAGTCAGGAAGATGTTGGTAGAAACTCGTGACATTAATAGTACCCAAAAACTTGTCCTGATTGACACAATCCAACGATTGAGAGTAGCATATCATTTTCATAATGAGATCGAAACATCTATTCAAAACATCTTTGATGCGTCCCAACTGCAGAATGACAATAATATTGATGACAACCTTTACGTTGTTGCTCTTTGCTTTCGACTTGTGAGACAACAAGGCCATTACATGTCTTCAAGTAACTTATTTCTGCCCTATCGCTTCACTATTTTCTTTTTCGTCGTTATTTCATTATTATATTTCATAATTTCACCCGTACATAGTAGCTTTCATTTTATTTTATTTTTTGGTTTAAGGGATGATTATATTAGCAACTAATGTAAAATAGGTACATCATCAGAGGGGTATATAGTATCCCCTAAGTTTTGTTCCATAGTGTTATTATTACATTCCAAAATGTTTCTTGAAAAAACAGTTCCTAGCCCGGCGCGGCTCTAAGGCTTTGGGCAGTGAGGCAATTGCCTTAGGCCCCCAAATTTATTTTAAATTTTTATTATTATTGTTACTATTATATATTATATAATTTATATAAATAATTAAAATAAAAAAAATATTACAGTATATTTTTTGTTACTTGATTGAGGTTATTTTATACAATAAATTTATAAATTATGATAATTTTTTTCCCTCATTAATTAGTATATTTGACAAGAGTGGGTTGCTCTAGTAGCGAGCATCCTCCACTTCCAACCAAGAGGTTGTGAGTTCGAGTCACCCCAAGAGCAAGTTGGGGAGTTCTTGGAAGGAGGGAGCCGAGGGTCTATCGGAAACAACTTCTCTACTCCAGGGTAGGGGTAAGGTCTGCGTACAAACTACCCTCCCAAGACCCTACTAGTGGAATTATACTGGGATTAAGGGCCTCCAAATATGATTTCGCCTTAGGATCCGAGATATGTTGAGCCGCCCCTGTTCCTAGCTAGGATGTCTGCCCAAAAAACTTTATTTGCAAACACCGGAGAAACTGCTGGCATGGTTGTTCTTCCAAAAAGTTAGTTTTTTGCTCCTTGCTTTGCCGGTAGATCAGCTACCCTGTTCTTCTCCCTGTAGCTGTCTTTCACCACTGCTCCTCTCAGTAATTATTACTCTTACTTTTTATAGCTTAACAATAAATAACTATTGAAGAATTTAAAATTTTCACAGATGCTTGAGAACGACTTTTGTTGTTCCTTGTTACCATTATTAAAGGTTAAACTTGATAGAGAAGTCCGCATTGTCCAATCATATAAATTTTCACCTGACCTAGTCTTTGGGCGCTAACTGTTGATATTTCTTTAACTAGGAAAACCATAACTTTATTTTCAATGATATACCATTCTAAAAAACTGGACATGGTAGGAATTGTTGATCTATTTACTTATAGGCAAACTCGTTCCGAGTGAAGTTTAGTATTTGTGTATATATATAACTAACTTGATATAACTATTTTTTTAAAATTTTTAACTAATCTAGTTTCTGTTAAAATATAAATATGATTTTAATCAGATGTGTTCGAGCAATTCACTAACCATGAGGGAGAATTCAAGGAAACCCCTACTATTGATGTCCAAGCATTATTAAATTTGTATGAAGCAGCACATCTGAGAGTGCACGGGGAAGATATTCTTGAAGAAGCTCTCAACTTTACCATCAATCATCTCGAGTCCATTGTCACAAAATTGAGCAATAACTCGCTTAAGGTTCAAGTTACTGAAGCCTTAAGCCACCCTATTCGCAAAACTGTACCAAGGGTGGTAGCAAGGAAATACATTTACATTTACGAGAACATTGAAGCGCATGATGATTTGCTTTTGAAATTTGCCAAATTGGATTTTAACATGTTGCAAAAGCTTCATCAAAGAGAGCTTAGCGAGCTTACGAGGTACACCATTGTTAGTGTTGTATCCATCCATCCATACATGCATACGTACATATATCTGCAGGGTAGGTGCTGTATATATCATGTCTCAAAGTTACAACAGAATACAATACAAGAATGGTGTACCAGACCATTCTTCAAAAAATGGGGAGCCTATTAACAAAAGGACTCCCAGAATATATTTATTTCGCTTAAATGAGATAAAATGTAACTTGTAATGCTCTTGTGATATTCTAGTTGGTGGAAAGATTTGGATCTTGCAAACAGATTGCCATATGTAAGAGACAAAATAGTGGAGAGTTACTTGTGGATGTTGGGAGTGTATTTTGAGCCTCGATATAGTCGTGCGAGAAAAACGCTAATAAAAGTATTCAAAATGATCTCCACCAATGATGATACATTTGATGCTTATCCAATCTATGACGAACTTGTGCTTTTCACCAATGCAATACAGAGGTAAAACTATATATATACTACTTCATTTATCTTTTGCATTCTCTTATTGATGAGAGGTGAAGAGTATTTCTACCCGGAACTATGAGCTGGATCCCCCTAAGCGAAAGGATTATACCTGGGTTAAGGCCATGAAAAATAGCCTGGGCGAAGAGTACTTCTACCCAGAACTATGAGCTGGATCTCCCTAGGCGAAAAGGATCTACCTGGGTTAAGCTTCGAAAAACAAGCCTAGGTAAAGAGTACTTCTACCCGGAACTATGAGCTGGATCCCCCTAGGCGAAAAGGTTCTACCCGGGTAAAGTTACGTAAAACAACCTGAGCGAAGAGTACTTCTACCCCGAACAATGAGTTGGATCCCCCTAGGTGAAAAAGTTCTACCTGTGTTAAGCTACGTAAAACAACCTCAGCGAAGAGTACTTCTACCCGGAACTATAAGCTGGATCACCCTAGGAGAAAAGGTTCTACCTGGGTTAAGCAACGTAAAACAACCTGAGCGAAGAGTACTTCAACCCGGAACTATGAGCTGGATCCCCCTAGGTGAAAAGGTTCTACCTGGGTTAAGCAACGTAAAACAACCTGAGCGAAGAGTACTTCAACCCGGAACTATGAGCTGGATCCCCCTAGGTGAAAAGGTTCTACCTGGGTTAAGCTACTAAAAACAAGCCTAGGTGGAGAGTACTTCTACCCGAAACTATGAGCTAGATCCTCCTAGGCGAAAAGGTTCTACCTGGGTTATGCTTCAAAAAATAAGCCTACGTGAAGAGTATTTCTACCCAAAACTATGAGCTGGATCCCCCTATGCGAAAAAGTTCTACCTGGGTTAAGCTTCGAAAAACAAGCCTAGGTGAAGAGTACTTCTACCTAGAACTATAAGTTGGATCCCCTTAGGCGAAAAGGTTCTACCTGGGTTAAGCTACGTAAAACAACCTGAGCTAAGAGTTTTTCTACCTGGAACTATGAGCTGGATCCCCCCAGGCGAAAAGGTTCTACCTGGGTTAAGCTACGTAAAATAACCTGAGCGAAGAGTACTTCTACCCGGAACTATGAGCTGGATCATCCTAGGCGAAAAGGTTCTACCAAAGTTAAGCTACATAAACCAACCTGAGCGAAGAGTACTTCTACCCGGAACTATGAGATGGATCCCCCTAGGCGAAAAGGTTCTACCCGTGTTAAGCTACATAAAATAACCTGAGCGAAGAGTACTTCAACCCGGAACTATGAGCTGGATCCCCCTAGGTGAAAATGTTCTACCTGGGTTAAGCTACGAGAAACAACTTGAGCGAAGAGTACTTTTACCCGGAACTATGAGTTGGATCCCCCTAGGAGAAACGGTTCTACCTGGGTTAAGCTACGTAAAACAACGTGAGCGAATAGTACTTCTACCCGCAACTATGAGCTGGATCCCCCTAGGCGAAAAGGATCTACCTGGGTTAAGCTACGTAAAACAACAAGGGCGAAGAGTACTTCTATCCGGAACAATGAATTAGATCCCACTAGGCCAAAACATTCTACCCGGGTTAAGCTACGTAAAACATTCTGAGCGAAAAGTACTTCTACCCGGAACTATGAGCTGCATCCCCCTAGGCGAAAATGTTCTACCTGGGTTAAGCTACGTAAAACATCCTGAGCGAAGAGTACTTCTACCCGGACACTATAAGTTGCATCCCCTTAGGCGAAAAGGTTCTACCTGGGTTAAGCTACGTAAAATAAGCCTGGGTGAAGAGTACTTCTACAGGGAACTATGAGCTAGATACCTCTAGGCGAAAAGGTTCAACCTGGGTTAAGATACGTTAAAAAAACTGAGCGAAGAGTACTTCTACCCTTAACTTTGAGTTGGATCCCCCTAGGAGAAAAGGTTCTACCTGGGTTAAGCTACGAAAAGCAGCCTGGGCAAAGAATACTTCTACCTGGAACTATGAGCTGGATCCCCATAGGCGAAAATGTTCTACCTGGGTTAACCTTATGAAAAACAATCTTGGGCGAAGAATACTTCTACCCGGAAACTATGAGTTGGATCCCCCTAGGAGAAAAAGTTTTACCTGACTTAAGTTACGAAAAACAACCTGAGCAAAGAATACTTCTACCCGAAACTATAAACGGGATCCCCCTAGGCAAAAAGGTTCTAACTGGGTTAAGTCACGTAAAACATCATGAGCGAAGAGTACTTCTACCCGGAACTATGAGCTGGATCCCCCTAGGCGAAAAGGTTCTACCTGGGGTAAGTTTCGAAATACAAGCCTAGTGAAGAGTACTTCTACCCGGAATTATGGACTGGATCCCTCTAGGCAAAAAGGTTCTACCTGGGTTAAGAAACGTAATAGAACTTGAGCGAAGAGTACTTCTACCAAGAATATGAGTTGGATCCCCCTAGGCGAAAAGGTTCTACCTAGGTTAAGCTACGTAAAACAACTTGAGCGAAGAGTACTTCTACCCGGAACTATGAGCTGGATACCCCTAGGCGAAAAGGTTCTATTTGTGTTAAGCTACGTAAAACATCTTGAGCGAATAGTACTTTTACCCGGAAATTTGAGTTGGATCCCCCAAGGCGAAAAGGTTCTACCCTGGTTAAGCTACGAAAATCAGCCTGGGCGAAGAGTACTTCTATCCGGAACTATGAGCTGGATCCCCCTAGGCGAAAGAGTTCAACCCGGGTTAAGCTTCGTAAAACATCCTCAACAAAAAGTACTTCTCCCCGGACACTATGAGCTGGATCCCTCTTGGAGAAAAGGTTCTACCTGGGTTAAGCTACGAAAAATATCCTAGGTGAAGAGTACTTCTACCCGGAACTATGAGCTGGATCCCCCTAGGCTAAAGGATTCTACCTGGGTTAAGCTATGAAAAACAGCCTGGGCGAAGAGTACTTCTACCCAAAACTATGAGCTAGATCCCCCTAAGCGAAAAGGTTTTACCTGGGTTAAGCTACGTAAAAGAATCTGAGCAAAGAGTACTTCTACCAAGAATATGAGCTGGATTCCCCTAGGCGAAAAGGTTCTACCTGGGTTAAGCTACATAAAGAAACTTGAGCGAAGAGTACATCTACCCGGAACTATGAGCTGGATCCCCCGAGGCAAAAAGGTTCTACCTGGGTTAAGCTACATAAAGAAACTTGAGCGAAGAGTACATCTACCCGGAACTATGAGCTGGATCCCCCGAGGCAAAAAGGTTCTACCTGGGTTAAGCTTCGAAAAACAAGCCTAGGTGGAGAGTACTTCTACCCGAAACTATGAGCTGGATCCCCCTAGGAGAAAAGGTTCTACCTGGGTTATGCTTCGAAAAATAAGCCTAGGTAAAGAGTACTTCTACCCGAAACTATGACCTGGATCCTCCTAGGTGAAAAGGTTCTACCTGGGTTAAGTTTCGAAAAATAAGCCTAGGTGAAAAGTACTTCTACCCGGAACTCTAAGCTGGATTCCCCTAGGCAAAAAGGTTCTACCTGGGTTAAGCTACGTAAAACAACCTGAGCGAAGAGTTTTTCTACCCGGAACTATGAGCTGGATCCTCTAGGAGAAAAGGTTCTACTTGGGTTAAGCTACGTAAAACAACCTGAGCGAAGAGTACTTCTACCCGAAACTATGAGTTGGATCACCCTAGACGAAAATGTTCTACCTGGGTTAAGCTACATAAAATAACCTAAGCGAAGAGTACTTTTACCCGGAACTATGAGATGGATCCCCCTAGGCGAAAAGGTTCTACCAGGGTTAAGCTACGTAAAACAACCTGAGCAAAGAGCACTTCAACCCGGAACTATGAGCTGGATCTCCCTAGGCGAAAAAGTTCTACCTGGGTTAAGCTACGAGAAACAAACTGAACGAAGAGTGCTTTTACCCGGAACTATGAGCTGGATCTCCTAGGCGAAACGGTTCTACCTGGGTTAAGCTACGTAAAACAACCTGAGCAAAAAATACTTCTACCCGAAACTATGAGCTAGATCCCCCTTGGTGAAAAAGATCTACCTAGGTTAAGATACGTAAAATAACCTGGGCGAAGAGTACTTCTACCGGGAACTATGAGTTGGATCCCACTAGGCAAAAACATTCTACTCGGGTTAAGCTACGTAAAGCATCCTGAGCGAATAGTACTTCTACCCAGAACTATGAGCTGCATCCCCCTAGGCGAAAATGTTCTACCTGGGTTAAGCTACGTAAAACATCCTGAGCGAAGAGTACTGCTACCCGGACACTATGAGCTGGATCCCCCAAAGCGAAAAAGTTCTACCTGGGTTAAGTAACGTAAAATAAACCTCGGTGAAGAGTACTTCTACCGGGAACTATGAGCTAGATCCCCCTAGGCGAAGTACTTCTACCCGGAAACAATGAGCTGGATCCCCCTAGGCGAAAAGGTTCTACCTCACTTAAGCTACGAAAAATAACTTGAGCGAAGAGTACCTCTACCCAGAACTATAAGCTGGGTCGCCCTAGGTGAAAAGGTTCTACCTCGGTTAAGTCACGTAAAACTTCTTGAGTGAAGAGTACTTCTACCCGGAACTATGAGCAGGCTCCCCTAAGCAAAAAGGTTCTACCTGGGGTAAGCTTCGAAATACAAGCCTATCAAAGAGTACTTCTACCCAGAACTATGAGCTGGATCCCCCTAGGCGAAAAGGTTCTACCTGGGTTAAGCTACGTAAAACAACCTGAGCGAAGAGTACTTCTACCATGAATATGAGCTGGATCCCCCTAGACGAAAAGGTTCTACCTGGGTTAAGCTACGTAAAACAACCTGAGCGAAGAGTACTTCTACCAAGAATATGAGCTGGATCCCCCAAGATGAAAAGGATCTACCTGGGGTAAAGATGCGTAAAACAACCTGGGCGAAGAGTACTTCAACCCGGAACTATGAGTTGGATCCCACTAGGCGAAAACGTTCTACCCGGGTCAAGCTACGTAAAACATCCTGAGCAAAGAGTACTTGTACCCGGAACTATGAGCTGCATCCCCCTTGGCGAAAATGTTCCACCTGGATTAAGCTACGTAAAACATCTTAAGCGAAGAGTACTTCTACCC